CGCCCAGAGTTTTATTGTAATATATTAACAATTTGAAACCGCAGAACTGGTCATAATGCAATGAGTCACGCTGTGTGTGATAAGACTACAACTTTTAAGTGAGAATGCATCTAAGGACGCTGGTCAATTTTTTTTTATTAAGCAACCTAAGCCATTCCAACCAATAATCTCTAAAGAAAGGTACCGGCTAAATAGATTACCAATTAATATTTTATAACGCTCATCTTTTTCTTTTGGAGTACGCAAAATCTCCTGAATATGGTCTTTTAACAAACGTCTATGAGCAACACGTAGCTGCAACAACTGGACCTCGCAGGCTACCAGAACAGAAGGAACATTATAATAAACACACATGAGGACTCATCATTTTATCACTGAGGTGAAATTCAGTCCAGTTTAAATATAATTCCCGGATGATTAATGAGGGTATGGTTTAAGCGCTTCATTGCTTGACGCTGTAAAACAAAATAACGCTTTATATAAGTCAATTCCTGCATATAGACTAGTTAATACATTGCAGATTTCGTTCGTAAAAAAAAGAAGGTTTGGTGGAGCATCACAGTCGCGGTACCATTGTCTAAATTTGTTTTTTGTTTTTAGTCAATTTTCGAAAAACAGAGGAAAGATCCCCAAAGTCTCTCTCGAATGATTCAGAGACAATGAAGTCTTTGCGTTGCTGTTCACATTACAATGGTTTGACTTTGAACAAATTTGCCTTGAACTGGCCAAATGCCTGACTATGAACTGGTACACAGGAAAATGTTAACGTGTTGATGACTATTTGGTATCCTTCTCTTTTCACCCTCGCCAATGCATCACCATCGAAGAAGAATATGGCCTCATACCCTCTGGAAGGAGCGACTTCTGATGAATGTAAGCCAATTTGTGTTTTGAATTTAGGGTGAATATTTAAAGAGGTAAAACTGGAAGAGTGATCACTTCGGCTTTGTGCATATCATGCTTGTGTGAAACTGCGGTATGGGTAATAGATGGACGACCATTAGTAGATCCGCGTAACTGAAGCAGACAATAAGGTCTGCCTTTTTGATACCATCGACTAATTACAAAGTGCGACCTTATCAATCTAACATCTACGCTGCTACCGCGTTGACGTGGCCAACATCAGACGGAACGATCAGCGTGTGAGATGAGACGATATGCCCCGAAGCCGCACCTGCAAACCAAGGTGTTGGTGAATGAATAATGCCCGGATGGCTAATTGCCAAGGAATCATTTCATGATTTACCAAGGGACCTCAACTGCTTCGGGTTGGCAGCCTGGGGAAAACATGGAGGATCGCCTCGCTTGCTACCGTCTACAGGTTTCTGAAGGAAACCTAACGTGTAACATGAGCACATCGGACTTAGCTCTTGCTACTTTCTGGTCCTTTGATCTTAGATGACGCCCCTGTCTCTGAATGGGAATAAATTTGGTGTCATATAACTTTCCTGCAAACGCTATTTTGATGATACAGACAACTGATAATTCATAATTACATAAATGTACTTGCCACATGAAGCTATCCCTACAAACCACTCACACTTCCATCACCAGTAAGTTAATGTGTATTCCATTCTTTCACCAAACTTTGGTAGGTGATAAAGCATTACGTTCATCACATCCAAGGAATTAGTTTTCGTCTCAGGTTACAATGAGATGACACCAATTAAGGAAATGTTACCGAGGCTGACACTAATGTCGTCGAGGGGAATCATTAGTCCGGATAGAGTTCAAGCACTAATTATACCCTGTAGAAAACAGGAGGCTGGAGACATGATTAGCTGAAGAACGATTTGAGGCTTCCAAACCTCGATTATACTCTGTTGGCCAATTATATTGCCTCATCTGAACTTGTGCGTTGGCGTGTACCCTTCAGGAAATGAGGCACCCAATTTGCTTGATGAATCTTGTTATACAGCATTTTGTTCTTAAACATCATTAAATCTGATTTGACCAATTTATGGGCATTCAGGCTGTCTTTTTCCTTCCACCGCGAATACCAAGGTGCCAAATTTGCGTCAGATGTTTATTATGGAACATGACATTGTCTAGCTAAAATCGATATTATGTATAAATATATTATTTCAGTAATCTTTATAATTTTCAAGGTTTTAATGCTGTATTTTCTACATTTCTTCAATAGGTTTAATTCCCGATCGTAGTTTATCAACAGACAACTGGAGATACGTGTACCTATTTCTAATAACTCTAGAATATTCGTTCATTCATTGTGCTGTGTTTCGTCGTGAATCTTTCACTGATCTCAAGAGCGTTCGGTCTATCGGCGCTTAAGTGGAACATACTTGCACTGATGTAATTTCCACTTGGGTTTTTCACCGTTCAAGGCTAGACTCTAATGGTGACTAAAAGCTTCTGACTATCCTCGTGTAATGCCTGAAAGCATGAACTTAATTCTGACTGCTCCTGGACTCGCTCTGAAATCTGAAATTGGTGTCAGCTTTCGATTGATTACGAATTTGATTCGGCCACCTGTCTCCCTGGGTGACACACTCATTCCAATGATCTCATATCAGGTGCCTCTGACGGTCAATTTATCCTCAGGATAATTCACACTATATATACATGAAAAGGGAAAGAAATTGGCTTCAATTCTAATTTCAGTGGGAGTATATCTTTTTATACGTACGGCCGGGTCACAGCTGTGCTAGCTAAGACAGAACCTAACTGGCTTTTAGTCAAAAATGTCTTTTCTGCAGCTACTAACTTTTCTTTCTGTAGTGTTGAGTGCGTTGCAGTGTTGTAATTCTAGTACGTTGTCAGTGTTGTTAGTCTAACACTTTTTCAGGTGTAGATAATTTCCATTTACATTTTCTTTTACTTTGCAGTGTTTACCGCAAGGCTCCTGTGAACGATAATAACCAGACGTTGTGGGCGTTGTCATGGTAAATCAAACCGACAGTCGATAAGTTCTACTCACTAATTTGACTAGATCGATGATATGAATCAGTTTGTACGGTTCAATCCACCTGTATAATCAACTTCATGTCCTGATTACTGCAAAGGTATGTTTCGTCTGAATTTCAAAAGAAACGGAGAATTGTCCAGCAAAATTACAAACGCAAGGGCCTCGTTTGAAAAGGGTCACTTTCAATGCATTGGTAATTTTGATCAGTTATTCTTGCTCGAACTCCTCGTTTGGAAAGTAAACGGCGGAAGTTGGGATCCAATCTTCATCCACGTGCATGCAATTGATTGGATTTTTTCTTTACTTTTTTCATTCTGTGACGATTCAACTCATCAGTTTACTGAATTAATGTAAAGTTTTAATTAACAAACGCAGACTTTATATTTTGTTATTAATAGGCACTATCCCCTTATGAGAGATTTTGCTTGTCACAAACAATCTATTTTCAAGATGTATTTTGAGTTGGGGAGATGTTAATTTATATAACGGGTTTTGCCCTTACCCAACGTAAAAATAGTTCTTGGTACCTACTGCTTCACCTGACTCGGACCGGCCAGCCGACCCCGAAAAGCTCGGTGGTCGAGTGGTTAAGACGTCAGTACTGGTAAGCAGGACGTCGTGGGTTTGAGTCCCACCCAAATAAGCTTGTGACTTTTTTTCGCAAGCTCTCGGACAAGCACTGAGCATACAGTGTTTATCAATATATACGGTGGGTAAGGGCAAAACCCGTTATATGAATTAACATCTCCCCAACGCAAAAATACATCTTAAAAACAGTTCGCGGTACCCGCTGCTTCACCTGACTCGGACCGGCCAGTCGACCCCGCAAGCTCAGTGGTCGAGTGGTTAAGACGTCTGCACTAGTAAGCAGGAGGTCGTGGGTTCGAGTCCCACCCGAGTAAGCTTTTGACTTTTTTTCGCAAGCTTCTAATATTTTCAATCATGTTTGTTACATTATAAAGTATTTTCATCAATTTTTTCTCATTTGTGGTACAGTTTGAAAGCGTTTCTAGAGGCGTTAATTGTATTTCAGTGCAAATCAGATATGTCCTCTTTTGTCGGATGCTTTTTATGGCGTTCCATGTAGCATTTAAAAACACGTTTTTGAAAAAGTGTGTTTTCAAACCGCCATTAAAAGCCAATCCTGTAAAATGCTTGGTTTTTTAATACTTCAAAAATAAAGCACCTGCCATTTTTTTTCTAAACGTTAAACTCACCAGGGATTCGAATATCTTCGCTTTGCAAACAAACGAGTCATCATAGGGGTTATTGAAATACCTTCAATGTAGTAATGGGAAACCATCTTTTCCAAAATGATTGACATAAAACTTGACACCGATGTTCAAAAAGTGGGAAAAGGACAATATAGGACTTGTTTGATGTGTTAAATTTATTTTGTATATATGTAAGTCCAATGTGTAATCTCTTTCAACTGTACAGTAATGCTGCACTGCCTGCCGTCATGTAATGTATTGTAACTGTAGGACTCATATGAAGAAAAAACGTTAGATGTATTTCACAGTCAAATGTTCGTTTCATTGCACAAATTTTACGTAGTCGTTCTTTTCAGCGGCACCCAACCAAAAAATGGCAATTTGTAACGAATTTCCTTCACAAGTACTGCATGTAGGTAGGTAGGTAGGTAGGAGTTAGGTATTATCTAGAAATACACGCCATTGCCCCTAACTGAGGGCCAAATAACTGCCTTGACTTGATCCAACCTTTGATCAAATAAGAACGCAATTCCTCCATACTTTAAACGCCCCCTTCCATGAAGGAATCATTTCGTCTTTTATCATGAAAAACGAGTGTACCTCAACTGATACCGGCAGTTGTGTGTTAGGATGTCATCGTGATTAGATGAAAAATAGTGTGAAGTTAGTTTAAGATATTAAGCCAAGCTATCAAAGGGATGTAATTATACCAAATTTCAGTTAAGATAAGTTGGCTTGTTCCTGGTCGTTGAAAGAAGGATATTGATGAACATCACTTAAGAGATATTTTGATTTGCCTTGGATATACAAAATTCTGAAATCGATACTTGAAACTAAATTTTTAAGTCATCGAGACTCACCTAGGCCTTTGCTGAGGGGTTAATCACTCCTTCCTTAGGATCGTCCTCGTCTTTGGAGTTCTGCAGTTGCTCTTGTCTCAACCGCTAGCACAAAGTTTCAGCTTAGCTCGTCGACAAAGCAAGCGAACTACAGAGAGGGAGCAGCGCGTTCCTTCCCGGGCTTCGAGTTCAGGCAAGTGTCGCAAATCCTCCGACGCGTGTCTCTATGAACAACCCCCCTTCGTTGAACAGCTCATCAAAATACTGACTTGAATCTGTGCTGCCGCGGGGTAAAACCCTCTGCGCATGACTAGTCCAAGTCACTGCATGACGTATAGGCTGCGCGTTTATGATTGGCTGCTGAAGTTTGGGGCAGTGAGTAATGTAATTCTGAATTCGCTTGTGGGCGAAAAAAAAAGAAAATTAGAAAATTGAAGGAGTGTTGGCGGTCGCTGATTTTCTTCCAAAGCTTGAATAGTCAGTCTCTTTGAAGGGTCGATGTTATCACTAAAAAGGAATCACTGAAGCGGGATTAAGAGCTTGTTTCACAGAAAAGAGTAATGTAGGCTTGGTTGGTTAAAAAAAGGAATTGTAGAATAAACCTACGTCGCATGTATCACGCACAAATAAACGGAATGCAGATTCTGAAGAGTTGGTTTCGTTGATCGAAAGGGCCGAAAGGGTTCTGAGCGTTAAGTACATTTGACGGCCTGTATGCCAGTTCTTTTCTCTAAAAAAGAATATACAAAATCGTAATAATAGAAAAATCTCATTTGAAATTAAAATCTTCACATTTTCCAATTATATACAAGATTATTAAAGCTTTTGTTCGTGTCAAACGTGCACGCAAGCACACTGTCTTCAGACGAATTTAGAAAAGAATGAAATGTTCGCTTCATAATCTTGCAACAATCCAGCATTCGACTTCCGAATGCACTCACTGAATAGTTGAAACTCTTCAATAGCACCCTTAAATCCATGCACAAAACGATCAGCTTGGTGAAAACGATGTAGGCCAATTAAAATTTCATTTGGATTCCTGAAATGTATCGTCAAAGACTAATCCTTAGTCTGTATTCGTTTAAATGGAGCCCCTCACCTCAGCATCGCCGTTTTTAATTTCACTAGCATGATGAAAGACAAATGGTTCTGTACGTGCTACTATAGTCGGGTGCCTTGCCGCCTGTAACATTGCTCATTATTACAAAAATGTGACTGGTGACAGCGCGACATGGACGGCCGGCCCTGCATGTACAGTATATTGGTGCATAAAGGAACCTTTACACTTGTACGTTTTTCGGGTGCGTTGCATACACGATGCGTTTCACTTTCACGGACACATAAATTGACTCCATTAACATAACACACGCGTGCGCTGCGTTCGGTCGTCCAAATCGCCCCGAGAGCGATTTTGACGGATACGCAACACTTGGCGCAAGTGTTGATGCCCATAATGGAAAGGTGCCTTTAACACATATCGCTACTACTACTGGTACATCACCAAACACACCCCTTCATGCGATTGCCCTACTAATAGTCGAATCAAATTCATGAATGATTAAACATCACAGCCCAGTAAGGCAGATGCATGTAGATTTTTGGAGCAATGTTATTCCCTGCAACCTTTATTAACAATTGTAGCATCAAGAATTCGAGGTGACAGAGGATCTAAAATTTCGAGGCAAAGTTAACGCATTTGTGGCACGGGACTGACAACTATCATATCTCACCCGTGAATCATTGTACCCTCAAGTATACCAAAGCGTGTTTCTAATACTCACTGCTACCTTTACGAGCTTTTCACATCAACAGACGTTCCTGGCTCTGAGCCCCCCCCCGGTAATTTGGAACCGATTCAGAAGCAAGTCATGCAGTGTGAAGTAATAAAATGTATAAAGCGCTAGGGCCAGCCGTACCGTCAAAGCAATTGGACCATTAAAAATATCCATATGCCGTCATTCATATTTTATTTACTGGATCTACAGTGAAACTGTACTGTGTGATATCTTATTTCGCTGGAAGGTAATATATTTCAACAGACTTTTTAGGCTATAAAGAAGGAACCGTTTTAAACTGTAGTTCTATCGTCTGTTATACGCTGTTATCATTGTGATTATTAAAAGTATAATAATGAAACCAACTTTCCTTAAAATGATACATCAGACGTGTTTTACCTTTCGAGTTATGTAATAAATATTTAAGATTTTATGATGACAAATAGATACAAGAATATCGCTTATCAAAGCATATCATATTTTCTAGGTTTACAAAGGAAGAAAAAGCTGCAAAAGAGAAGACTATTCAAGAACATAGACAATTCTTGTTTAACTGCTATGTATAATGTGTAGAACCTTTTAAAAATGATTAGTAGGCTCCAAAACTAAAATCAGTCCATGAAACTAACTTCTTTGACATTTGAAGCAAAGATCCAACTTGAGAGTTCTTTTTAAAACTCACTGCCAAGTTTACAATTAGGTTCTAACTGTTCGTTAGCACCGTGCTCGAAAAAGACTAGTTATTTCTATAAAAAAGTCTAACTTAATTGTCGCATGAAATAGCCTGCACAAGGTTACACCGAAAATGAACAATTTTGGCACTATAAAATCTGCCAAATGATACCGGTATGTTCAAAAACAGGTTACTAAAAAAGGTACTATTACAGCGATTCCTTACCGTGTTTAAGGCTTCCAATTATATTTTTTTCTCACACTAATAAAATTCTCTTGTATTAGACTTGGTTTGTGCATGGGTGAATTCAAAATGCAGTGTGGTACTGGACGGAAGCAGTCGCAGGAAAGGCCTTGGGTAAGATCACGATTTTTCCGCACACACAGTCTGATGCATATTCTGACACTGATTGAAGTTTAGCGTAGGTCTCTTCTGAATTTGCTTTGTTTGTTTTGAGTTTTGATGAAAAAAAAGGTGGATACTGAAGACGAAGATTGAATCTCTGCTTGCCCGACCACGACTATTTGATCTTTGGTAAGAAATCTACTATTGGAAACATTTGAAATACTCTTGAAGTATCAGAAACGTCATAAAATTCCTGAGCAAAGCTATACACTTGTTTCATAATTCTGGAACTCTATATAGAACCATATGTTGTGTACTGACCAATACAGGGCAAGCAGTGTTTTATGCATATGGGACTATTTCTTTAATTGAGACGGCAAAACTTGACAATTCAAGCTTTTTAAGATTACTGTAGTTAACTTCTAAAGTACTCCTTATCAACCCATATCTAAAACATTGGGACAAACCTATATGATGTCAAAATGCACACCAACACGTGTGGTATTGATTTCAAATTACCCGCCCATTATAGTTGTCACGCGATGTTAACATGGGTTATCCTATGCTATGGTTGCATCTACAAGCTGACATCACGTGATCTTACACTGAAGCACCTGTCATCCGAGCAGAATGATTCTTCCTATCTAGTCACTTTGCGTTGTCTGTGTCCCGGTCCCAGTTTGGTGGGGACATGAACACCTTAACGTTCCCAGTGACCTTCTTGACTCACCGTAGCCCTACTCCCCAGTCTCAAATCGAACGCCTGCTATATCTACCACCCGTCACCCGTCCCAACACCTCGACTGGGGCCGTTCACACATCCACGTCGGCGAGCTTGATTGGCTTAAATGAGTTGTCGGCGCGGAAGCCCACCCGGTATCAGAATGACTCTCTATTCTGTCGTTCATTCCGCGCGCAGGGATCAAGAATTGCGGATCTGAATGTGTCCCGCCACAGGGGCCACCCGATCCTCCGCAGTGAATTTCTACCGGCATCCCAACGGGGCGATATGATTTCGCCTTGTACAGCTAGCTTTGACAGATCATAACTGGGAAAGGCCGACAAATATCCCGTGCTATTTATAGATTTGGGTCAGTAAACTAATGTCTTCGGCTTTTTATGCAAATATCCTCAAGGCATCTTATAAAGTAGGCCATCGAAACGTGATCTTTGGTCGATCATTTTACAAACTCAACAGTAACATCACCAAAAATGCGTTTGACTTTCTTTTCACCGAAACTTAGCTGACATTACTGCAATGTGCAAAAGTAAGGCATCCGCATCTCCCCAAACATCATGAACTATATAAACTCATACAGTAGCTTCCTCGAACTTTAAAAACAACGCATTTTAGCATTTTCAATTCTATTACAACAGTGCCCAATACTAAGCTTTCAACAGGACAGCTATTGTATATTCTCTTCTCCGGGATTAGAGGAAGTTCAATTTGAATAAAATACGGCTACTCTCCGTAGAACAAGGAGCAGCTATCGACACCACCAGACGCATACCCCTTACCACGGATCCCATGGTATGAGACAACGACAGCTATGAGACAATTGAATACAAAATCATGACACAAACATCATGGTCGGAAGCCATGGCACAATTTTGTAGTTACGGACCTCCATTAATAAACGACGAGCTTAAAAGAAAAACCGTACTCGCGTTTTCATTTGACCAGTTACCCAAATGTAGATGGTAGCATATTTGCAATAATAAAATTAGGGTGATCTTGAATTTGTTCATTATTAAAGCACACTGCCCCTGGTCCTCTGCTTGATTCCATCCCAACTCGTGACTGTTCAGTGCTGGACATCATTAACTATGTTTGTCCAAGAAATAGCCTTCAATTTGCTACCACGCCGTCAAGAGGTTAGGCCTATTAAGACATAGTTTAGGTTCTGTTTGGTTGGCGAGTTTATTTCAATAACCATTTTACACACGGAACTTTTTTGTAGAATCTTGTAATGCTGTGCTCATATTTATTGCACATACAAGAAATGAAAGGGAAGAAAGTTTGCCAACTTATTTAACGGCGGCTCAGTTGCCATCAATACAAATTAATTTAGATTAATTTAAGTGATTAAGATGTGGCAAAAGAAAGATACGTGATTTCAATATGAATGATACAGACTGTCCGTTAAGGATAGAGGATACGGTGTACCGATGAACGATGCATTTTAAAAATGCAAAGCCTGGACCCCTGAATATTACCAGAGCTGATAGGATTATAAGAATTGAGTTAAAGTCTTGATGAACCTGGGTAAAATTCATAGCATACCTTCGGTAGACTACCGTCAGATATTGCCTTGTCAACCGTTACACGGCACTTTCTCGTTTGACGCGGTCGGTTCGATGCACTTCAGCTATAAATTCATAATTACATTACTGAAGAGTCAACAAAGTCCTTAAAGACAATCATTTGTTTAAGACTTCATATCCAGATATGTCCTCAACGT